AGCAGCGACTGAATATCTGCTCTGATTGTGGGTTGAGATATGATGTGAAATATAATGCTAAGAAAACTGTTATGAAGGACTAAGGCAGACAAAGAACTTTGTTTTCCTGATTTTTTTTTTTTTTCTGTTGGGGCAAAAGTTTGTTCAAAAACTAAATATCTGGGTCACAGACCAGCTCTGTGATGATGATGATGACATTTATTGGCAGTGTCGCATATTGTACGCATTCTGGGGAGAAAATGTCATATGTGTACTGATGAGGTAAAAATAAGTCTGTTCAAGGCTTACTGTACATCCCTGTGTACAGCCCCTTTGTGGTGCAGATTTTAAAAAGCTAGCATGTAAAAGCTTAAGGTTGATTTTTTTTATGTATTGTTGTGTGTCATGTCTTTGTTCTTTTTTATGTCTATAAAAAGGACATATATATGTTGTTGTAAATTGCTTTTCAATAAAGTAATCCATATACTTTAAATGCAGTATTTTTCAACAAGGTCTTAGAGTTTAGTTGGAGAACAAACAGCATCACGAGGACCAAGGAACAGCAGACAGATCACTGTCACTAATTTCAGCTCCTGACAGGCAAAGGTTTTAGAATTATGTGTCAAATTTGAGCATATTTACAAACAAGCAGGATATTTCTAATGAGTGTAGAAGAATGAAGGAAAGCAGAACAATAAATGCTGCTCTTAAATGAAAAATTGTTTAAGCCTGTAAATGAAGCCCAAATATGTAGTTGTGAGTTACAGAGGAACACTGCCCTCTGTTGACTGGAGCACATTTTGCAACAGAGTTGATATTTGTAATGGGGTTCTGCATCTTTAAGAGTTCCCATTATGAGAAAAGTGATAATTAAGTGTCACTTAACATTTCCTTACATTTCCAACAAGTAAGGAAATGTTGTATGAAGATGGCTATTTCTTTATTGTAAAAATGCTTCTTGGCAACAAAAATTATACTCTTGGAAAACCTTTTTTTTCTCTCACACAATAACGAGGCTTTGGTTTGTTAAATGTACATTTTTATATTGATGTTTCTTCATATTTCTATCATTCAGTCCAATAAAAAAGACATAATGAAAGTCCTTAAAACGCTCTCATCCCTGAGACTCTGGAATAAAGACTAAAAAAGATACTTCGATAGTTTTATAACACTTTTCTTCTACTTGAGTCATTCTAATTTGGAGAAAAGCTGCTCTTGTCTGAGTACAGTTTCTCATTACTCTACCAGGCTGTAGTAACTGCACGAATGAAGGAGAAACATATTTTAACTAAAAATGCATCAAACCTGAGGTTAATAGTAAAGTCGGATTTCTGGTTTGTACTCAGGCTTCGTGTTTCTAATGTTACTCAATCTGCAGAGCCTGTTGACCCATTTAGAGGGCAAGTGGATATGCAGTAAAACACTTATCACTGGCAGTAGTTTGTACACATTAACTTCTGAGTTTTGGTTTCCAGAGAAATGTGGATACAGGCAGTTTCTTCTTCCTGAATAAATTATTTAGTAGCAGTAATTTTAGTTATTCTCACTAATTTTTTACTTTATCCTTTAAAGTACCAAAGTTTGCACACACATGTGTAATTTCAGTTTTTTTATTCTTCTACATTAAAATCATTTAGTGCTGCTCTTACTTCAGTAAACATTTTTGTCTGCCCTTGCCAACTCTGACTATAATACAGCTGTTGTATTTTCATGTCTGAATTTAGAGATGTGATTTTTATTCACTCATTGTGTTTGTTGTTTTTGATTTGTTTTGAGTAGACATGTGGTAAAATTTTTCCCCCTTGTTCTAATAAACCACTACACAGCTTAATCTGTGTCAGAAAAATATTTTTGTGAAGTCTTCAAAGTGTTTTGTGTTTTTTTCTTCTGTTTATTTGTCTCATTTAACCGACGATATCTTACTTACTTTTTAAAATAACAATATTTATCATTTACAACCTTCTTTTAAATAATCTACTGGAAATGTGACAAAGTTGTAAACCTTATTGAAGTCATAGGCATCCACGCCGCATTTCCTTTAAGAGACCTTTTATGAATAGTGGCTTAACAAGTTTGGCCACACCTTTGCATACCTGAATCGAAACTTAACATAGCAGTCTCTCTTCATGCCTGTTTCACGCCTTGTTTAGTTATAACTAAGCCACAGAAGCGAGCAGGTATCAGCTCATCCCTCCTGGACTTGAATCTCGTCTAAAACCCAGGAGGAATCATCACCGTTTTTTAGTGGCTACATTTATGTCACGTTTGATTCACTGGGACCCAATGGGTAAACCGAGAGTTACAATCGCTGCTTTCACAGGTAAATGTGACCTAGATTTCATTCCGTAAAGCTGATCTCGTCATGTCATGAGTCGTCAATCATGTTTGTTTTCTTACTACAAACAGAACTGACACACAATCTTGTTATAACTCGTACAGTTTCTTATTAATATTTTTTTTTCTATCCCAGGTAATCGGATGATTTATTTATGGTTTCTGGGTTTTCTTTTCTCACCCTGCTGCGCTGCTCCCGGTAAGTTCCGACTCCCGGCATCATTATTTATAGCGCAGTTTTCCACCACAGAGTCCATGTCTGCACGACTTCTTCATTTATCGCTTAAAGTGACTTTTCCTGATAAATCCTTGTTTGATCACCAGATCTTAATTTTTTTTACCTCAATTACCTCAATTTCTGGTAATGATGTTGTTACGACTGGCTCAAGGTCATAACAAAACGGGAGACCATGCAGGGGTTAAAGTGCATTTAAATTAATATTTATTAACAAAAACAACAATGGATTGTGGATATCAGTATCAGTGGTGTAATGCAAATGCTTGGATG